TGATAGTAGGATCTAGTGCGATTCAATTCAAACACATAAATTTGAACTGACACTTAGTATCCAAATTAATTTCCTTCCAAGCACATGAACTTGAAGGAAGCCGCCTAGATAGTAATTAAAACTCTTAGTTTAGTCACTACAAAAGACGACTGAATTTTCTTTATTTCTGGCTGTCTTTATATACATAATTTCTTAACATAATTAATTAAAAAATGCTATTGATAAATGCTGATATAAATTAATAGTAATGTAGGTCGGTTACTAGTAGACATTAAATGCTATGTAAGCAAAATAAATAAATGTGTTAAAGAAACTTAAAAACATTGCAAAAGTGAATGAACCAATGGCCAATGAACTAAAATAAAGAAAATTAACTGTAACAATAAAATAGTCCAAATATGTGATATAATAATGCTGTATAAGCAGTTTAAAACTTATAAATATGTAGGTGTGCTTGATTTTTGTATTTATTGTTTGTTTTGGTAATTAAATCTAAAGTATGTTTATAGAACAATAAAAAAAATATTTATGTATGTTTTAACAATACATATAATATAGAATATGAATATATATTTTTTAAGAGATTTAGTTTTATAGAATGTAATAAAAAAATTTTTTTAATCTGTATTAGTATATACCTTTATGTTTAATCATAAAATGATATTAATAAAATGAATGACGAATTTGATTCATATATGACTTCTGAATATTTAATTATATTAAAATCCATATTAAGAATAACATGTAAAATAAGATAACATTAATTACGCCAGCGTAATTATGTATATAAAATTTTTAAAAATTAGATTGTATTTAGACAATATAAATAAATATAACTAAATAAATATGTATATAAAAGATAATAATAATCTTTTTTTTTTTTGTTAGAATAAGAATTAGATGGCGAGAGGAGGGTATTTTCAGATTTGGCGTTTCAAACATGTTTTTAAAACATCTTTATCTATTACAACCGATTTTCTGATGTGAACAAATCTTGCTGTCGAAAAAGGCATGGTGTTTCTTTCCCGTTTTTATACCCTCCACCTTGAAGGAGGGTTTGAATTTGTAACATCCCTAAATATTCGTCTCCAAAAAGTATATATATATATATATATATATATATATATAAATATATATATATATATATATATATATATATATATATATATATATATATATATAAATATATATATATATATATATATATATATATATATATATATATATATATATATATATATATAAATATATATATATATATATATATATATATATATATATATATTCATAACCAGCATAACATACTATGTCGAGTCAACCGTCTGTCTGTCCGTTGAAATCACGATACAGCTCACATGATATATCGGTCCACGTTTTGGTATAGTCCCCATATAACGGAACCTCCCAATACTCGGTATTTTGATGACTTTTGCACCCTTTTTCACGGATTTGTCTGAAAATTGGTACTTGTTGGTCATAATGGGTCCTAGTTAGTGTTGCGAAATATTGTATGTATAGGTCCGTGCTTTGGTATAGCCCCCATATAATGGTGACTTCCGATATTTGGTATTTTGATGATTTTTGCCACATTTTTCCACAAATATGTCTAAAAATTGGTATATGTTGGTTATAATGGGTTCTAGCTCCTGTGGCGAGACATTGCATGGGTACCTCCCGATATTTGGTACATTTTTCACGGATTTGTCTGAAAATTGGAATTTCCTGGCCATGATGGGTTTCAGTCCGGTGGCGAAACATTGTAGGTCCACCTTTTGGTATAGCCCTCATATAACGATACCCCCCCATATTCGGTATTTTTATGATTCTTGCCACATTTTTCAGGGATTTTTCTAACAATTGGTATTTGTGGGTTACAATGGGTTCTAGCTCCGGTGGCGAAACATTGTATGCATGGGTCCACGTTTTTGTATAGCCCCATATAACGATACCTCCCGATATTCGGTATTTTGATAAAAATTGGTATTTTTAATTCATAATGGGATCTAGACAGAACATTGAATGTTAGGTGCCATGTTTTCCTATAGCGCACATAAAACGACACCCACCTAGTCACATTTTCCCACGTAATTGTGTCAAATTTTTTTTTTTAGATGATTTGATAGATGTTCGCGGAAGAAATATACGCACCGTTGGAATATTTTTACTACACAGAATTTATTTATTAAAAATATTTCTTAAGAACTAGTTATGATAATATGACTTAACCTAAATTATCATTAAGTGTAAACGAGGGAGAGATAGATTCTAACTGTACACATGCATATGCACCATGCCACCATAAATCTTAGGGGGAGGTCATAAACACACATAGCTATCTCAAATGTGGCAAGCCAACATGCTGCACTTGCTTATCGGTCTGAGTAAAGATTACCTCCCATAATGTAGCTCCACCATAACACATGCAGCAATTGAATCGAATGTTTGCTCACTACAGTTTCTTATCTTATTTAAAGACCCCCACATGCTTACCCCTTTAGTGTTTGTATTTATTTGTGGACTGTACATTTGTTACCAATAGATTTCCTTTCCAAAACTGATCTCCTCTATTCAACTAAAATAATTTTATGAAATCTGTTCACTCATCCGTGAACATCTTCCCCGGGGCTTATTTACCCCCATAATTTCCATCATCTTTATAATCTACTTTCTGTTTCTTCGCGTGGTTTAGGTACATCTAAGTTTATCTTAATTAATGCCCTTTTCATTTTATACTTATTTCTAATGTTTAATACTACCGCTGTTAAATCGAATGCAAGTACTATAATTAATGACGCCATTCCGCTATGATGATGAAAATCCAGTCTCATAAGGTTCAGCTTCGTCTTCTTCAACTCAGCGATTTCTTTAACCAGTCTTTTCATGGTCTCCGTATGGTTAATCCTCATATCATTCAGTGGACCCATATTAAATGCAGTTATCTCGGTAACATTGGTGGCCAACATCATCTTGTTATCCACAATTCGCTCCGACTTCAATTGTACCGGTGCCGAAATTAAAACACCTTTGATACGCAGAATACATCCAGGTTGCAATTCCACTATCCCTTGAAGCGGCAATTTCATTATCATTTGACCTCCTGGATAACATTGCAGATGTGCCGACGTAATGTTGAAAGAACTAACTAGCCAACTGTTCGATGCATGTAACTTTGTCCATAGATGTTCAAGCTGTGTTGTTGTAAATTGACATCTGTGGCTATTGAGAGGCTTTATCGACGACACTTCACATGAGTTGTCATTTGCGTCTATCCACGGCCATCCTCCTTGACATACATATTTATTTTCTGCTAATCGCTGACATCCGTTTAGCTCCGCTTGTGACATCAAGTGGTAAGCATCCGCATTATAATTATATATAAGAAACTGGTTCCTCGATGTGGCTATCATCTTCGTTCCTTCAAACATAAACGGAATCGGAATAACTTTGTACAGCTGAGACACTTGGTCATTGAAGAGAGGAATAGATACAGCAATCACCAAGTCATTTTTCAACGTAGTAGCTCTGGCAGTCAACAGTTTATAAATTGTCCGCAACTGATCATCCTTCTTCCCTGGCAGCTTCAAGTGGTCTGGTATATGCTGTCTGATGTGGTTTACTGCGTCTTGCAATTGTGCTGGAGTGAGGAGCGCTGTATTTAATTTCCCGTGGTTTATATCAATCAGCAACTCAATTATTTGGGCCTGAACCTTTTCATTCTCTTCCACCATTAGCTGAAGGTCTTTTGTCACCATGAAGAATTTTATGGACTCTTTATACACGAAATAATTCTCTTTACGGCTTCCGTAATGTTGTTGATTCTCTCAACCATCCTCTTGAAATTAACATTCACCTCTTCCGTGGTTCTTCTCAACACATTTGTAGTATATTCGACCACTGATGTCTGCTTTTGGATCAGGAATTTCAAATCATGCTGGTTGTTTAATAGGATCTTCATATTTTCCTCCATATGTCTTCGATCATCCGCATCCATTGTCCCAAACAACACGTTCTGCAGCGATCCTATGAACTCCAGGGGAGCTCTCTTCACTCGCTAAACTTCCCCGGGGAACAAATATTGATTTGTTTTTTCCATATTTCCCACCTGTCTTCCTATCGCGTCTAGCACGTGATCGCACTGGCTCTCAAAGTCCATTAGCTTTGGACATGATGTTCTCATATCTTTTAAAAGTTATTGTGCTCGTTGTATTAACTCAAAATACGGCTGTATATTGAAATGTACTATTACATTCCATGTTGACGCTACTACATCCACGGAGCCACTGTAGTCCAGGTATAATGCTGCTGAATTATTCAGTGGGGTTATTGTACCGCCAATTTGCGCCGCTCTACTTGAATTCACCGACGCTATCAACAACACCGACAGGAACACCCCAACTGCTGAAACTTTGTTGTCCTTCTTAGTATTTTTCTGGACATCAACTTCTTCTTCTGCCTTCACCAATGGACTAATCTTTTGAACAGGCCGTTTTAAACATCCGTTTTGCAACTTTACTGATACTACCCGTACCTTGCCATCTTTACCCGCAAATGTCTCCTCGACTCGACCAAGAGGCCATTTTGCTGCACATTATCCTTTGGCTGGGACCACTTTCTTCTGTGTTGAAATGTGGTCAAATATTTATCATTGTTTCCTCTGTCTGTTACTGACTCCAGGATTTCCTCGTTATTTGAGAGCCATTTTTTGATGTTGAATTTATGTTTCTTCAGTTGCTTGGATACCTTGGTCACAATCCTCCTGCATTCGTCAATTGAATCCGCACCCGTCATCAAAACGTCCATATAAAAATCTTCTCGTATAATCTTTTTTATATGTGTGTCAACTTCTGGATCGTCTCCTATTCTAAACAGACTCCTCACTCCTAAGAATGGCGCTGCTGTTGTTCCATAAGTGACTGTTGTCAATTTATATTGCTGAATCGGCTGCTTTTCATCCTCTCTCCACAATATATACTGGTACTCCTGATCAGCTGGATGCACTTTTATTTGACGGTACATTTTTCTACGTCCGCTGTTATCCCGTAACACCACATACGCCATTGTAGCATGATGTCAAATATGTCCCTTTGCAGCTTAGGTCCCGTGTACATAATGTCATTCAAGCTCTTGCCATTTGTTGATTTTGCCGATGCATCGAAGACTACTCGTACTTTCGTAGTTATACTTCCTTCTCTTACCACTGAATGATGCGGTAAGTTGTACTTCCCTTCAACTGCTGCTGACACCTTTTCCATAGGGCCCAACTCTTCGTATTCCTTCATAAATTTTTCGTAACTTTCATCTAGATTTGGATTACGACGTAGCTTCTTTTCTATTGACAATAATCTTACAATTGCCAGACCTTTCGAATCACCAAGGGATTTATCATCTTTCAGTGGTAATGACACCACTATTCTTCCTTCATCTTCCACCACCGTCGTTTCATTGTACCTTTGCATGCACCAGTCATCTTCGATCGTCATACTTGATGGCGTGTCCACCTCTTCCAACTCCCAGAACCTTTCCAAGTTTGTCACTGCCGAATAATATCTTCTGGATTTATTTTTAAGTTGAACTTTACCAGACAAGATCTATCCCAATTTTGTTTTTTGCGCAAAAGGCCCTTTATTTTTCACTTGGCCTTCTTCCATTATTTCAGAATAAAGGTCGCCGCCAATGATCAAATCCACTCTGTCGCTTTTATTAAATAAAGGATCTGCTAGTGTATAGTTGTTCCATTCTTCTATACTGGTTTCGAATGACTCTTCTGGCTGTGCACTCATCACTGTTGGCAGAACTAACGCTTCTGTGCTGAAGACATCATTGCTCAGAAATCGAGGTTTCATATCCAACTTAGCTTTGTATTTTGAGACCCCAACGGGTGTACTGCCAAGGCCATGAATCACAGTGTTATTTCTGATCCGCGGGAGTCCCAAAATTTGAGCGGCTTCATTTCTAAATACTTTCTGCAATTTGTGTCCCACTCCATTGCAGATATGACAAGACTCTTGCATTTGATTGACTTTTTTTCGAATCTAATTTCTTTCTTAGTCACCAACGCGTCCCCTGCTGCTTCTAACGCTAAAAATTGTTGCTCCAACAACTGGATCACATCTTCGAGTTTCTGGATTTCTCTTGGCTTCTTTATCTGTTGTTCGTATAATCGCAAACCATATTTGTCAAATTTCCTTAAGATGAATCCGGCTCGAAGGACCAAACTGTTCGCAGAAGAAATGTACGCACCGTTGGAATATTTTTACTACACTGAATTTATTTATTAAAAATATTTCTTAAGAACTAGTTATGATAATATGACTTAACCTAAATTATCATTAAGTGTAAACGAGGGAGAGATAGATTCTAACTGTACACATGCATATGCACCATGCCACCATAAACCTTAGGGGGAGGTCATAAACACACATAGCTATCTCAAATGTGGCAAGCCAACATGCTGCACTTGCTTATCGGTCTGAGTAAAGATTACCTCCCATAATCTAACTCCACCATAACACATGCAGCAATTGAAAATTCTGTATTATTTATTTCTAAATCGAATGTCTGCTCACTACAGTTTCTTATCTTATTTAAAGACCCCCACATGCTTAACCCTTTGGTGTTTGTATTTATTTGTGGACTGTACATTTGTTACCAATAGATTTCCTTTCCAAAACTGATCTCCTCTATTCAACTAAAATAATTTTATGAAATCTGTTCACTCATCCGTGAACAATAGATGACAATCCTTCAAATATAAAAATGTCTATAGAGGTTCCCGTTATAACGGCCTCACTCAATTTTATTTTCAAGAATGATATTGGGATTTTTTTTTAATACTTAAATTTATACTTTCTATATCTGTACCTCTCTTTAGTGACACATCTATTTTATTTATTATACGGCTCGATGTACAGAATTGGAATTCTTGTATGGAATCCCGAAGCATTTTTGGTTTGCAAAACGGATGGATTTAATCCCATAATTGTTGATTTTATTGTTGTTGACGAGATAGACGAGGACCCGACAAGAACTTTAGTTAAAATGTTCAAAATTTCATATAATTTAAATAGTTGATTATATTTTTTCTATCGTAGAACAAGAATTCATCCCCAGACCACCAAACAATCGATTATTTATTAAAATAAACAAGTAAATGGTAAAAAAGCTGTAAGTTCGGCCGGGCCGAACTTTTAATACCCTCCACCATTTGGTACAAATTTGGCAATTTCCAAAAAATAAAATCCGTTAAAAATTCTGTTAATATCTAAAGAATGCCGAATGCTTATACGACGACGTGGGCCTGCATAGGCAACTTTTGTCATAAGTTATTACAATATTTAAATGCGAAACTTGAAGAAAAATCTGTTTATAATGTAGATAAAATCATCAAAATACCAAATATAAGTAGGTACCATGGAGGTTATAAAACGTGGACCTGCAAAGACAATTTTCCGTCGTAGGCTGTAGAATCCATTATGAACTGCATATACCAAATTTGAAACCATTCCGGTGAATAATGTCGCTAAAATCATTAAAACACCCAATATCGGTAGGTACCGTAGTATAAGGGCTATACGAAGATGTGGACCTGCACAGATAATTTTCTGTCATAGGCTGTAGTATGCATTGCGAACTTCACATGCGAAATTTGAAACAATCCCGGTAAATAATGTCGCTAAAATCATCAACATACCGAATATCGGGGGTTACGGTATATGGGGGCTATATGAAGACTTGGACCTATATGGCCCATTTTCTGTTTTATGCTGCAGTATCTATTACGAACTTCAAATACCAAATTTGGAACGATTTCGCTTAATAATGTCGCTAAAATCATCCAAATACCGAATATCGGGGGCTACCGTTATATAGGGGCTACACGAAGACGTGGACCTGCACAGATAATTTTCTGACTTAGGATTACGAATCCATTACGAACTTCAAATGCCAAATTTGAAACAATTCCGGCGAATAATGTCGCTTAAATCATCAAAATACTGAATATCGGGAGGTACGGTTATATGGGGGCTATATTAATACTTGGACCTACATGGCCCATTCACGATAGCGTGATTACAACAGACAGACAGACGGACATGGCTATATCGTCTTAGAATTTTACGCTGATCAAGAATATATATATATATACTTTGTTGGGTCTGACAAGAGTATTTCGAGGAGTTACAAACGGAATGACAAAATTAATATACCCTCCATAGTATGGTGGAGGGTATAGAAAGCTGTTAGTATACCGGGCCGAACTTTGAATACCCTCCACCATTTGGAACGAATTAGAAAAATTTCAAAAAAATAAAATCCAATAAAAATTATTTTAAAATCTTTAAAATATCTAATATAGGAAGGTGCCGATATATGGGGGGATATACGATATTGTGGACCTATAAAGACAATTCTATGTCTGCGTGTAAAGTACTCACAAGGAACACCTTGTATGGATTTTCAGATAATTCCATTGGAAAAAGTGGCTAAAATCATCAAAATACCGAATATAGGGGAGTACCGTTATATGGGGTATATACGATATTGTGGACCTATATAGACAATTCCGTTTCAGGGGTAAAGTGCTCACAAAGAACTCCGTGTGTGGATTTTCAGACAATACGATTGGAAAATGTGGCTAAAATCATCAAAATACCGAATATCGCGGGGTACCGTTATATGGGAGCTATACGTTATCGTTAACCTCTATAGAGAATTCTCTGTCGGGGAGTAAAGTGCTCACAAAGAACCCCTTGTGTACAAAGAACCCCTTGTGACCATTCCGTTGAAAGATATGGCTAAAAACATCAAAATACCGAATATCGGGGGTACCGTTATATGAGGGCTATACGATATCGTGGATCTATATAGATAATTCTCTCGATGTATAAAGTACCCTCAAGGAACTCCTTGTGAGGATTTTCAGACAATTCCGATGAAAAATGTGGGTCAAATCATAAAATATCGAATATCGGGAGGTACCGTTATATGGGGGCTATACGATATTGTGGACCTATATAGATAATTCTCTGCCGAGGTATAAAGTACCCACAAGGAAGTCCTAATGTGGATTTTCAAACAATTCCGTTGAAAAATGTGGGTAAAATCATCAAAATACCGAATATCGGGGGGTACCGTTATATGGGTGATATACTATATCGTGGACCTATATAGACAATTCTTTTTGAGGAGGTAAAATGCCCACAAGGGACTCCTTTTGTGGAATTTTAGACAATTCCATTGAAAAATGTGGCTAACATCATCAAAATACCGAATATCGGGGGTACCGTTATATGGGGGCTGTACGATATTGTGGACCTATATAGATAATTCTCTGCCGAGGTACAAAGTACCTACAAGGAACTCCTTATGTGGATTTCAGACAATTCCGTTGAAAAATGTGGGTAAAATCATCAAAATACCGAATATCGGGGGGTACCGTTATATGGGGGATATACGATATCGTGGACCTATATAGACAATTCTTTTTTAGGAGGTAAAATGCCCACAAGGGACTCCTTTTGTGGAATTTCAAACAATTCCATTTGAAAATGTGGCAAAAATCATCAAAATACCGAATACCGTGAGGGTACCGTTATATGGGGGCTATACGATATTGTGGACCTATATAGATAATTCTCTGCCGAGGTATAACGTATCCACAAGGAACTCCTTGTGTGGATTTTCCGACAATTCCGTTGAAAAATGTGGGTAAACTCATCAAAATACCGAATATCGGGGGGTACCGTTACATGGGGGATGTACGATATTGTGGACCTATATAGACAATTCTCTACCGAGATATAAAGTACCAACAAGGAACTCCTTGTGTGGATTTTCAGACAATTCCATTGAAAAATGTGGCTAACATCATCAAAATACCGAATATCGGGGGTACCGTTATATGGGGGCTATACGATATCGTGGACCGATATAGATAATTCTCTGCCGAGGTATAAAGTACCCACAAGGAACTACTTGTGTGGATTTTCAGACAATTTCATTGCAAAATGTGGCTAAAATCATCAAAATACCGAATATCGGGGGTACCGTTATATGGGGGCTATACGATATCGTGGACCGATATAGCCCATCTTCGAACTTGACCTGCCTGCAGACAAAAGAGAGATCTGTGCAAAATTTTAGCTTCCTATCTTAATTCGTTTAGACTGTAGCGTGATTAAAACAGACGGACAGACGGACTTTTTTGGGTCTAAAATGATTATTTCGATGAGTTACAAACGGAATGACGAACTTAATATACCCTCCATACCTTTTTTGGTGGAGGGTATAAAAAAAATTAAATCCTTTAAAAATTCTGTTAAAATATTAGAAATACCGAATGCAGCCATTATATTAGGGTCAATACGACGATATGGACCTGTATAGGTAATTTTTGTCGTAAGCCATTGCAATATTTAATTGGGAAACTTAAAAAAAATCGGTGAATAATTTGGCTAAAATCATCAAAATACCGATTATG